TAATGGTTATATTACGATTGTTTCAGAACGATATGCATTTATCCTTCCAGTGTATTCATGTGGTATTGAGATTATTCGACAGCATTTCAGCTCATAATGCACATTTTCGAAGGATTGAGGTAAATAATGTATAGCAGAAGTGAAATATACGGTGTTATACTAAGCTGAAAGATTGGCTGGTACAAACGTGTACTAGTCATTGAAATAGTTAACGAAAAACTTCAGTCGATAGGATCAATCGAAAATTCAATGAAACTTTTGTAGTATTTCTCCTTTGAAATTGCAGTGCAACAAAGTATTTATCTTCAGTACGAACGTAAGATATTTTGCACATTGCTGGAAATTGGTATCTCTCAATCGAATCATTCACAAGCAAAAGTTTCTGACAGGAAAAGAGACAACATCTAAATTAATGAAATCCTACATTCATTCTTTCATTTAATAAGTGCTCTTATAAGACTGCCCAAAATTGAGCTTTTATATCTTCTCAGAATGTCGCAAACAATCGGCGCTATGCATGTTACTCACTTGAAGTGCACTCGATTAAATTAAATTGATCAAGCAAATATGGGAAGACAGCTTTTAAGACAAAATTTTCCCTAATTAATAACGACGAAATAAATTAGTTCATCGTGGAATATTTACATATTTGGTGCGTCTAGGAAACATTTATGAATTGTTCTATCTTCATTCCAGTTATGAAGATTCAATTTTTTCGACACGGATTCCTTCAGCCGGTTGACTCCAAAACAGAACATTCAGGTCGTTACGATACTCGTTGAATAACGCCACCACACAGCCACCCCAACCCGCACCAGTCAAACGAGCGCCTAACGCCCCAGCATTCACGCAGTTCTCAACCTGGAAACGGATTTTCCAAATTTCAACAGAATTAGTTGAATATGTGAAAAATGAGAAAAAAATTTGATCACTGATAAATATTCTGTTAAAAAGACGAACAAACGATGAGCGTTCATGAAAACAAACCGTTCTATCCAGTTCATCACAAGAGCACTCATAGAGATTTCGACAGCTCTCGTGACTCTCACTCATCAGTGTACCCATCGCACGCAAATCGCCTTGTCTGCATGCATCTTGAAATTGCACGACTCGTAACGCTTCCGAGAAAACGTGACTTGCACGTTGTCTTAGCTTGAATTCCTGCACTGAAAATTCGCATGCTTAATTGCGATCCAACACATGTAAACATTTATATCCGATCATCCAATTATCCATTTCAGTCAGACCTTCAGGTTGTTTCTGAAGTTGTACTTTCTTGCTTTCATTTGATTTCCGACTATATTTTGCGCTTATGGTCAGTTATTTCTAAACGGAATTTCGCAAAGGCGCGGTGAAACGGTTAAATAGTGCAGTGCTCGTTCATCATATCTAATTCGTTTCAGAAGCTCGAAAAAAAGTGGTGTTTTCTGAAGGTAAATGCATCAGAATGTTCAGACTTGACACGGACTCATCGTGGCGACTGGAATGTTTTATGGACACACCAGAAATTCTCACATTATATACTCCATCTACGAGTGTTAACGTGCTGCTCTAAGACGGATAAATTTAATTTGATAATTTGATAATTGATAATTGCGGTTTGCTCGAACGAAAGAGAGTTTGTGACATCAAATTTTTAAAATAGATTCAAATTTCTCTAAATTACTTTCAGTGTCTTGCAAAAGCACCACCAAGCACTGCATTGAATCTTCATTGTCAATATCCCTCAGTTTAGGTACTTCAGCAGGTTTGTACGAATAAGTATAAGGATACAAGATACTATATCAGAGTGTTTAGATGCATGAATTGCTCTTCTTGAATAGCACTGTAACAAGCTTACTATTCTGAGTGTTCGCTGATAAACAAATCGTTTTGAATTCATCATCAGTGATCTCCAACGTTTTGAGAATTGAGCTCCTCGAATAGACTTGATTCGGAAGCATATCGCCAACAACACCGATCATTTCTTGCGTCGTTTTCTTTAGTTTTTCTGCTAGATTACCCAACGTTTTTACTGATTTCCAATCATTCAAGCCATTGAGTTTTGCTATCATCTGTATGATTGTATAACATCATCAGCATCAATTTGTAATATGTTCCAAAAACAGTGAAAACTGTTG